TTGAGATATTTGATCAACAAGAATCATTCAAGCTAGACATGATCGATCTTGCTTGTGGAGTGATTCGAATCTCAATCAAGTGTTCTTGCCTTGAGACAATCGATCAACAAGGTAATCCGAATCTTATTCCCCTTATATTGATTCCTTATCATATCACTTGGTATCAGAGCTTCAGGCTCAAGATCGGATATATGTTTCCTTTGCGTTTCTTTTCAATTTGTTTTTATCCTTATAGTTTTTAATCGACCCAAAATAAAAAAATCCAATTTAGGCTCTTCTAAAAAAACATTCAGAGGTGAGAATGAGAGCTTCATTTGTGTACATGAGTGCAAACAGAGTGGCCTAAAAATCCTTGAGTGTATACTCGTGAGAGAGTGTTGTGAGGTCCTTCGTATTTCCATAACTTATTTTTTGCAGCAAAGTTTCACAAATAGATTCGAGGACGAATCCTCTTGAAGAAGTGGAGAATGATATGAACCAAGAGACATCAATCATACAATATGCTTCAATGAAGATGTGAAGAAAAGATTGTCAAAATTATCAAAAGATGTTTCAATTCATGCTACATTGAAGAAGAATAAAGTTTGATTGTTGTAAATTTTGGGTGGGTTATAATTTAGAGTTATTGTATTTTAAGTCATTTTATTTAATTTCAATTACATTTACATAATGGCTAATTATGGGCATAAAGTGTGAATGTTACAACTTTTGTAATGCCTTTAATAGTTTCATTTTGAGGCTATATAAAGCCATGTATGTTGTATTTGTAAGGTAGACTTAGGAAAAAAATATAGTAAAGAAGCATTTGTGCTTTTCTTTAACCGATGACTAAGTTTCTTTGCAATTCTATGTAGTTTAGATTGCATGTAGAATCATTCAAGCTCGACATGATCAATCTTGATTGTGGAGTGATTCGAATCTCAAGCAAGTGTTCTTGCCTTGAGATATTTGATCAACAAGAATCATTCAAGCTAGACATGATCGATCTTGCTTGTGGAGTGATTCGAATCTCAAACAATGTTCTTGTCTTGAGATATTCGATCAACAAGGTAATCCGAATCTTACCCCTTTGTAGTTGATTCCTTATCATATCAGTACCTTTAAATTTTCATAAAAGTTTCATACGTACATTTAACTTTTACTAATTTCAATATAATTTAGTAATGAGGAGAGATATTTGGGGAAGGAATGGTAAGGAGGGAGAATTTGATGAAGTTGGAGTGTAACTAATTTTAAGTTAAATGGAAATATTTTTATTTTAGAATTAAAATTAAAATTAGATGAATTTCTAAAATAAAAGAGATTGAAATGGTTAGATATTTTTTTTATAGAGCATAATTAATTTCTATAAATCATTTGTTACCAATAAATTAGGAAAACTCAACCAAAACAATATCATTTATTACTGTATTTCTAAATTAGTTGTTAACTAGAGTTTATATAGAGGTGAGATTTAGAGGTAGAATATCTGTGTGACGACAAAATGGGTTTGCATAAAAATGTCAATATGGTTTATGTCCTTTTGTTGATCTCTTCACTAATTTCTCATCCATTTTCCAAACTATCTCTCCCAACCATGTCACCTCTCCCCCACACTTCTCTCCACAAGTCTTCCGATCTAGCCGATAGAAAGACCACTTACCTGATTAGCTTAAGTTGTTGTCATGAATTTATCATTAATGAACATTTGATTCTGTCTTTTGAAATCCAATTATCTTTACCCAATTTTAATAGATTCTTTTTTTTTTTTCATTTTAATGTTGTTGATCATGATTTTCTAAAAGATTGTAAAAATTTAAATAATTGAAATAGAATAAAAGAGATAGAAGATCTAATAAACTTTTCTCTCTCTTTCTTTATTTTTTCTTGTGGTGATCATTATGTTGTCAGAGAAGGCGTTGTAATAAAATAAAATAAACAAAATTTTAAACTTAAAATTCTCCTTTTATTTTTTAAAATTTAATTAAATCGAAATTAAAAAAAAAAAAAACTTCAAAATTGTTGTCATTTTAAAATTCTAATATTTTTTCACTTGAATATTATTTCAGAACTTCTCTTATATGTTCAATCAATTATAAATAAGAATACTATTTTTGAAAATTTATGAATATTTGTTAAACGTAAAGTAAAGTTGTATTTATATAATGATAAACGTATTTTTAAAACAAAAGGATTGATCATAAGATTTCCCTGTTACATTATTTAAGGGCTTGAATTAAAAGTGTTATCTCTTATTGAGAACATCTCTCTCGCCAATCAACTTATCTTCTCTCGCGTGGTTGATCTTCTGTACTGTCTTCACATCACTCCATTGGCTGTTGTGGAGGTGGCGGAGAGGGGAAGAGAAATGCTGCCGGGGGCGGCAGAGAGGGGAAGAGAAACGACGCCGGAGGTGGAGATTTAAAGAAGCTTTGCATAGGAGGTGGCGGAGAGGGGAAGAGAAATGCCGCTAAAGAACCTTCGCGCAGGAGGTGGCGGAGAGGTGAAGAGGAATGCTGCTGGAAGGGGCAGAGAAGTGAAAAGGAAGGCAGATAGAGATTTACAGGAATGCTTCAGGTCCGGTGATGAGTCAGCAATGGCATGAAATGGATGAAAGATAAGTGAAAAAATAAATAGATGAGAGAACCCTAAAAAAATTTTTATTTTATTTTATTTTATTATTTTTTATGTTTGGTGATTATGAAGATGGTATGAAATCGACCCAATCTCAAAAAATTTATAGGAATAATGCACATTTTCAAATAGTAAATACTAAATTTGTCTTTTAAAAATATAGTTAAAAAAAACAAAGAAATTTAAATTAAAAAAAAAAAAAAAACTCTAAAGTTTCAATAATACCATTAAACTTAAAAATGGTTAAATTTAAAAAGAAAAATTAAAAAAATATATCTTCTTATAACTAATTAGGGATAGAAATGGTTAATATTTTATTTTTATAAAAATATCTTTAAATTTTCATTAAAGTTTCATACCTACATTTAACTTTACAAGTTT